GCTTTCCAAATACAGAACAAACTTCCAGGTTTTTTTGTGTTTGGCGCTACAAATGTTTCATGTCTCTCCCTTAAACTGTAAAAGAGCACCATGCATTGTAAGGCAGAAAGCTCATTAACAATGTGCTTTCTCATGTATATAACCTTGATTTACTTTCTCCTGATTATATATTAGAGGTGTTGGCTTCCAAATACATAATATGTGTCTACATTCATCTAAACCAGAGGTGTCAAACTGGGTCAGATCCAGACTTTGGGTTTCCTTTCATGCCTGATCCAGCCTGGGAAATGGGCATAGCTGCCACAGCCACTGCTCTGAGGGGTCTGGGACAGTGAGGGATCCAGAGGTCGTGGTGAGGGGTCTGTTGGCTAAGATCTTGGCAGTGGGAGGGATCCAATTATGGCAACCCAAGCTTGGTGCTGATGGGCATGGCTAGCAGGGCCAAAGAGTCTTGAATTTCATAGTAGGCCATGCTTGCCAACTTCTAATAGTTTGATGGTAGATCCAGCCCACGGGTCCTACATTTGGCATCCTAACCTAAACCAATATTTGCGTATACTTTAGAAGTATACACTTCAGAATGGCCTGGCCTGGTTTTCAAAGCAAGGTTGCATGTTGTTATTACAGAGCAGGGATTGGCAACCTATGGCCTACAGGCTGAATCCGAACTGGTGGAGCCATTTGATTTGGCCCATAGACGTGGGACTTTAGTGATATTTGGCAGCAAGAGGCTTCAGCAGCAATTGCTTTCCTGTGCTGCTGCAGAGAAAAGTGCCAGCAGTGGCTGAGTCCTAGCATATTCCCCCCACCTCTGGTCTGAACTGGGTTAATCTGGTCCACAGCCTTAAAAAGTTGCATATCACTGTTATAGAGGAAGGGAGGGAATTGGTATGCCTCATTTTATGTGCTTCAGTACTATAAAGCTGGCAGTAGGGGTCTAAGCATATTTTTGCTAAACATTTTGTGACTAGATAAAACCAAGTGGTTGAGGATTTTGTTATTTGCTTTTACATTAGAGATTATTATTATTTTTCTATTTTCTTTCAACAGCTTATTTGCTATAGTTCTGAAATGCACTACTGTATTTCATCTTCTGTGTATTACAAAATAACGTTAGCTGTATTAGCTAATCTGGTTTGCAATGGGCTTTCTAGGATCTCCAGCTATCTGCCCTCATCTTCTCTTGTGTCTCCCATGCCTACGGGTTCAGTAACATATCTGAACCCATTCTTACTGCCATATTAGTTTAGCAGTTAATTATCTGAGTTGCCTAGCTACTCCTCACATGGTCTGTTCTTCAAAGTGTGTGACCTTTTAAGACTTCCCATTACCCTATCTTCATGTAATCTATGGTCTTACGAAGATGGCAGAGAGTATTACCAACTGAAAGCAGAATTTCTTCCATTAGGTGGGAGAAGTTAACTAACGTCCTTCCTTGTTAGTAGAATTCTATATGCATGAGATGAACTTGTAGTTCAGTCTCTGAACTAGGAGCTATGGAGCAGTTCTAGGTTGTATCACACACTTGTTCCATGACTTAGAGCAGATCAGTTTTTATAGTTCTTTGCTTTGTTTTCCCACCTGTAATGTAAAGGTAATGACGCTACTTCACAAGGGTCATACACAGAGGGGATTGTGATGTTTTATGATGGTGGTAGCCATATGAGGACCTACATTATTAAAATATGAATGTACTTCCTTTAAGGAAGGTATATGTTTATAACTAATAGAATGTGGTGAATGACCCAGAAAACTGGTTGATGAAGCAGGTTTATGTCCAGACCTGGTTCCATATTTCTCAGTAGCATTCATATATGTGGAGAATGCTTCATGTGACTTTTTGGCCCTTTAGAGAAGATGGGTAGTTAGTCTTACCACCTCCACTTTCCTACCTCAACTAATCATTTCTGTATCCTTTTAACATACAATACCAATGGTGTTACCGATTATAAATATAGTAAGTTTGTAACAGTTATTTTGATTAGCAAAAAAACTATAATTCTAGGATATTATTTGTAGAAAGTCTTACTTTTAAAGTACACATTTAAGACATATTTATGACCATCCATATATGTCCGTTACAGCCTAAAATAAGTCTTGGTGTATATAAGGCTTGGTGTATATAGGTGTGTACATGTTGAATATAGCATGAAAGTTGAATATGTATAACCTTTTTGTGCTGAAGACTTTGTAGACTTTTGCCAAGCTTACAAGTTCCTCCTAGTTGTCTATCAGGTTTAAAATTTCTACAGATTCCAACAGTACTTACTATTTTAGGATTCACTTGATGCTACTTCATACAACACAGACTTTTAACCTGTGAAGAGTGTTTTGTGTTCATTCTGCACTGCCACTTCCCCAGACAGGAAAAAGAGCCCAGGATTCATGGACCCAAGTATAAATGCTGGTATTTGATCTTGGTAGTGTTTTACAGCCTCTTTATACTGGTATAAATGACTATGTATAGTGCAAGGGAGTAGAGAATTAAGGCTTTCAATCTTTGGATTGTAAATTGCACAGAGAAAAGGAGCTTTGCACTGCATCTCAGTTCCTTGATTTCAAAAGGCAGTTTGAAACTACAATGAAAAATTATTTTTAAGTTGCAAGGGACTGAAAAAGATACGATGGTCTGTCAAAATTTCCCAAAAGTCTTTGGACAAAAAATTATTTTGATTAATTTTTTTTTTTAACTTACTCCAAAATACATCCATAGGCTATTAAAAATTCCAAAAATGTAGATTCAGAAGAGCTGCAAAAGAAACTGTTTTATTAGTGGGTTAGTCAATGATCAACCTTACACGCATGAACATAGTTTCCTTTATCTCAACATGCAAAGTACACACCATCCAAATTACAGTACTAGGATTTCTGTGTACCTTAACAGTTTGTAAAAAGAAAAATCCCTGTATTTTGGCAGATAATTTCTTCATAGATAAAGCACCTATATAAACTGTGTTTGCATATGATAGTTTCCATATAAAGTTCAATTCTTTTTGGATAGAGATTGTAGTCCTTCCCTAACTTGTTTTCAAAGCACTTCCTATAAGCAAGTACTTATGATCTATCTGAGTGAGTCCATATTGAAATGGCCATGTTGGAATGTTTATTTCAAATATAGTTAACCTGTTTTGCCATTGCCTTATTCCTGTTCAGACAAATTAATATTTTTCTTTTTTTTTAATTTCATTTCCTAATCAGTTTTTTTCTTCTTTTTTTGTGTTTAAGTAGGCCACAGCAGCCTTGTCCTTGCAGTGTTACCTTTTCACACTCAAATCTTTTCAGTTCTGCTGTTCTGATCCAGAAGTGTAGGTTCAGTCCTTGCACTGGAATTGCACTGATGGTTAATCCCAGTTAACTCACTGTAAATGAATACCTGATTATTTGAGTTGGGGGATCAGATCTTTTGTGTTGCTGACTATAGAAATTTTTGGCCTATCAGTGTACACTTAATTGAGAGAAACATTATTTGTAAATGAATTATTCATTAACTTGATTCTGTAATTCAGTTATACAAAACACTACTCTTGTAAATGTGTTTAAACTTAGGACATGGCCCTGTAGTACATGATGTAGATGACAAAATTCAAGAATATATTTCTCACCGAAATATGCGCGAACAGCAAATTTTAAGTATGTTCCAGAAGAATGCTGAAAAATCATTTACACCCATGGAGCTTGTAAAGATGGTGTACAAGGTAATGCTAGTTAAAATGTTTTTATATCTGGAACTAGATTAGAATCAAAGATCACAACCTTATTTTGTATTGAAGTTAAAAACATTGGGGTATGTATTTGTATTAGACTTTTAAAAGTTCATAATATAACAAGGTAACACTTGGCATATGCTTCCTGTTATGAAAAATAAATAGTCTGTGCATGTGTAAAGCATGACATTCAGTATGTTAGTAATCATATTGCTTAACTGCTTTCCTGGATTGGGACTTAAATTGTTTTTATTAACTTCTTAAACTTCAGTAACAAACTACTTTAAACTTAGTGAATAACTTATTTTTATGAAGATAAAGCTTTAAGTTACAAAACAGTTAAATCAGTGAAAAATGTCAGATAATAGTTCATTTTTATTTTTTTTTATTATATGCAAAGTTGTTTAGAGAGTCCCACAGAGTGTTTTAGAACATGTAACCCCAGGCACTCACAGCCTTCAGAAGGCTGTGTGCCAGCTATGTTAGAAGTCTGGCATTCATGTGCGCACTGTAGGGCAAAATAATCTGGATCTTGTTATCTGAAGCAAGATGCGTAAGTAATTCATTTGACAGATGTCTAAAGCCTGCTCCCTCACACCTTTCTCTTCAAAAGGGTAAATCTCACTATTTAGGACTCATGGTATAGAGATCATTTCACTCTTAGTATCGCTTTTAAGAACTTCCTAGTTAGGAAGTAAAAGTAAGGGGGATGAATTCTAGAAGAGGAGACTATTGCTGTCTAACAGTCCCTAAACTCTATGCAGGACAGGTTTATGAAGGGTTTTGCAATCTACTGTGGGTTGTTTTGGTACAGCAAACTTTTATGGCTGTTATAAATGTCAGGTGGAAACTACTGTATATTTTACCTGTCTGAGTAGATACAGTCTATTTCTGGCTGTTTTGTAGAGTAGAAATCAGCCCAGCATTAAGGTTGGGAGTTTGTTGCCCACTCATCACACTGAGATGAGCTGGGTGAGATAAATGGATATGTTTCTCAACTTGTGGGTCACAAGAATATACGAAAGGGTTGCAAACAAACTTTAAGAATGGGTTCTCCTTTAATGGAGAAAAATGTGGGAAACCATGGCTCTTCCCTTGCAAGCAGGCAGAGTTCCAGCCTGCAGGGGGCTGCTTGTGGCCCCCCCGCCCCCACCATGCTCCACACACACCCGCTCCCTATCCCACACATTTGGGGGCAGGGGACAGTGGGTTGGGAGTGAGGGACACTGGATTGGGACTGGCAATCAATCTTTACAAATGGGTCCTGTTACCAAAAAGGTTGAGAACCACTGAGTTAGAGGATATCAGGAACACAGTAACAGTTGCATTGTGAAAGAGAAACAAAGATTCCAGGTGCCATTTCAGGCAGGCTTTTCAACATTCCCACCTGTGTCACAGACTACTTGGGCATATCTACACGAAATGTTTACCACAGAGATGCCTAGTTAGCTCCACAGTAAAGTCTTTGCATCTACACATCTACCTATTAAGTTGCAGTAAACTAATAAATGCTGTTGTAAATTGGTACTTTTAAATACAAGTACTATCCTGCTGCAGCATTATGTACTATGCAGCAACATGCGTGTAGATGCTGACAGGGCTGGCTGGGGCACAAAGGTGCTTCATTGTGACGGGCTCCTTGCCAGCTAGCCCCGCACTGGAGCACCCTCATGCCCCAGCCAGCCCCTTCACAGCACATTGAGCCGGGTCAGACCAGTCCTGGTGACCTCCCCCCAGGTCCCCTGCCAGCCAGGGTTGCTCTGACCAAGCTCAACATGCTGTGGTTCTGGATATATGTGTAAATGTGGCACCCAGGAGCAATGAACTCCAGCACAGTATGTGCCAGAGTTTATTTCTTGACATTAATTGTACATGTAGATACACCCCTTGATTCTAAATTTGTCCCTCTCCCCCTTGCAGGTAACAAAATGGTAATAGGGCAGGTTTGTTGTTGGAGGAATAAACAGTAGTGTAAGAAATAGTTGTTTCGAGGGAGGCACTTCAGTACTTTAGATTATCGTCCAAAAGTTTCGATGCTTATCTTAATCATTATGAATTTGTCTCATCACTAAAATCCAAAGAATTTTTATTACATCACTAAGGTTTTAGTGTTTAGGTGCCTATTTTGCAATCCTGATACAGGTTTTCTAAATAACTATTTACTAAGCCAGCTCTTTACATCACATAAAACTAGAGGTGCACTGATACATTGATCACAATATCAGATTGGCACCGATATGAGGAAAATTGGAAGTATTGGCAGTTGGCTTTTTTTGTCTGATGTGGCTGATAATGTGGCCGATAAACGCCTCGTGCATGCGCACAGCCGCAGCACAGCACGCAGGTGGCCAGGAGCACAGCCCAGCAGCATGAAGAGCAGACGGGTCCAGCTGGTAAGCCTGTTGTGGGAAAAGCGGGGAGGGAAGGAGCATAGGAAGCAGATCAAGGCCCCTGCGGTGAGGGAGGGAGGGAGTGGGGCTGGGGCAGACGTTGCACAGCCAGGGCAGGGCATGGAATGAAGCTGTGACTTATCTGGGAGGCATGGAGAAGGTGAGGGTGGCTCTCAGCCCTGCAAACACCCCCGGAGAGCATGGGGAGGCATGTGCCCCTGGCTCTGCGCATGGGGAAGGGGGAGCTGCCACTGCAGGCTGGGGCCAGGGCTGCACCAGGCTCTTCCTGGTGAGATGAGGCTGGGCCAGGCTGCGTTTCGGGTGGGTGGTGGCAGTGCTGGGAGCAGTGGTTGGGGGGTTGCACCTCCCCAAAATCTCTGTAACCACCCCTCCCAACACCGCCACCTGCACACCCTGAGCATAGACTGGTCCCACCTCAGCTGGAAAGAGCCTGGTGCTGCCCCAGCCTACAGCAGCCCCCACCGCCCTGTGCCTTCCCGGGGTGCATGCAGCGGTGGGAGCCACCCCCCCCCTCCACACACACACACATACACCCTTCAGATAAGCTGCGGCTCCATCTCCTGCCCTGCCTCGCCCTGTCTGGGCAATGCCGGCCCCTGCCCCAGCCCCACTCCCTCCTTCAGTGCGGGGACCTCAGTCTTGCCCCCCCCATGCCCCTTCTCTCCCTCCACCCCTTCCCCCAAAACAGACTTATCAGTCAGACGCCATTCCCCACACTGTGGGGCTGCACATCAGAATTGGATCAGTATCGGCCAACATGGCTCGTTAAAAATTGGCCAGCAGTATCAGCCCACAAAATCTCTATCTGTGCACCCCTGCATAAAACCCCATTTGCCAGACAGTTTATTTGAAGAAATGGCTCAGATTTTCAAAGCCAATAACTTTGAGAGAAAAAACACTGAAATGATAGAAAAAAATCTAACGAATAATTTTGAATGTTGCGTCTTAATTATATTTACCATCCACTGTTGGGCTACATGCTTGGTTGGCAGTAAAGGCCATTCCTACACTTAGCCAAACACTAAAATTAGATATTGGACATATCTACATGTGCATTTAAGCACACCTAAATTTAATGTGCGTTAGCTTAATGAGCATTACATGGGTTTAGGCTGTCGTCTACACATGCAAGCGTTAAAGCACATTAATGCTGTGCGTGGACTGCCTACACACAATGTTAATGAGCTTTAATGTGTCTACATGTTTGTTAATGTGATTTAACTATTTGCGCCTAAATTTTGCATCACTATACCTGAAGGAAGGATGTTTGTGCCCAAAAGCTTGCAAAGAACAGTTTTTCCATCTATATAGTTGGTCTGATAAAAGTTATCACATCTACCCAAAGGACCTTGTCTGCCTATGTCCTTAGGCCAACACAGGTGCATCCAACAACCCCAATTCAGAAAAAAAAACCCATGTATTTAATGCCATTTTGGATTTGCAGAAGGCAAAAAACAGAGTAAGTAAATCCAAAATTATTAAGTTAAAAATCTATTTAAATATTGTGAATTTTGAATTGTTTCAGTTCTTTGCAGTTACGTAGATAGTGTTTAACAAATAATTCTGTTTTTGGACTTACGTTGTTCATAGCTAATTCAGTATATAAAAAAAATAATTGACAAAACTGACAAATATTTAAGTTGCATGACCATAATATATTCATTGTGTTTTTATTAGGATCTTCCTGAACCCTTATATAAAGCAGCAGAAAATAACATCACCTGCCACTTAAGGAAATTAGAAAAAGAAGGAAAAGTGTGTAAGTGTTTCTCTCTCAAGTTATTTCTTACAGTGTGTTTAATAAATTATTGCTTAGGGAATGCAAATATGTCAATTTTTAGACATTTTTGTAGTAATTGCTTAAGCAATATAAAGTATAATTAAGTACCAACAACTTCAGTGATACAAATATTCAAGTTATCTAAAGTTTTTTATAATTTCTCTGAAACTTGTGCATTATGCTGCTGTTTGTGCTGTCATGCTGTTTCTTTTGACATTTATAAAATATTGTTTAGAGTCTTAATTACATGATTACAGAGTATATAAAAAAAATCTTATTATACATGCATTCCGGGAAGCAATGTTAAAGTGGTACAACCTTAACATTTACATTTTTCTGATGTATATGGTATTTGATACATTAAGTTTATACTGCATTTAGCTTAGGGTATTTTTCACTTTACTTTCTCAGGTATTATGGGAGAGAGATGGAGAAATCCTAGTTCTGTAGTAAGAGCCAGTAAGCACAGGTGAATGAATACCTTTAGAAAACTGAGCAAGTAGAAACCGTAAGCATTAGTCAGCCAGGAGCTTATGAATGCTTTTTTTGTTCTTGTAGATTAAGCAAGCATCTTTAATACGCGTTTATAAACCACATAAATGTGTAAGAGTTAACAAGCCATCAGTTTCCTTAAATTAATTTTCTTGCACTTTGATTATTTTTGTTTCAGTGATCAGGTTTGAATGAAATAGGTTCAGTATCATGTTGGATTGCAAATATTTTAAAAATGAGAATTTTTTCAAGGCTAAAATTATGTCTTGCAGTAGGTTTTTTTTTTCCTTTGGTGCAGTAGCTGCAAATATGGAGCAAGTGGTATATTGAAGGATATTTTGTGCAAAGAGAAATACAAATAAGATGCAGTGAGAAGGCTATAATCTCTATAGTTCCCTACACCATCTCTTTATTGGTGTGTGCGCTCTCTATCAGGAGTCAGATACAAACAAGTATATTGTGGATCTTGGTTGTGGCCGTTCCCATAACACGAATGGGCAGGATCTTTGAGGCTTTAGATGTTGTCAATTATGGGCATGGCCAGGCATTCATTTCTAGCACTACATACTTCAGGGAAACTTGCAGCACTGGAAAAGCTGGTGCAAAAAGGAGCCTACAGGAGTTCCAACCTTCTGGTTCAAGAGCAGCAAAGTAACCTGAAAGATGACCACTCCAGCCAGGAGGAGATAAGAGGCTGTTACTTTGCCCCCATGGAAGACCATCTGTCTCCAGCTGATGCTAAGGTAGCTGTGCTGCCCCTGACTCCCACCCTGTGCACAGATCCAGGAGGCAGTGCACCTGGACCTATTTGGGTCTGGGATAAATCTACCTGCAGCACATCTGCCTTGCTCCCTTACCCACAATTCACATCTCTAACTGATTGACCAGCAGAACTGAGGGTGTATTCCCTCACAGCTTGACCCAGCCTGGGTACATAGCAAACAGGTGCAGCTCTGGGGGAATGAGGCCCCACTCCTTGCATAAACATAGAGTGACCAGGGTTTCTTAATTGGAAGGGTGAATTGGCACTAGCAGGAGGGTCCCCACAGGGCACTTTGACAGCTTGCCCCTGGGTACCTATCAGGGAACCAAAGCTCTCCCTTCCTTCCCTCTTCCTTGGAATACTGGGGGTCCTCACCACCCAAGAGAAGTGTATAGCCATTCACAGAATCATAGAAAATTAGGGTTGGAAGGGAACTCAGGAGGTCATCTAGTCCAACCCCTGCTCAAAGTGGAACCATCCCCACATCCCAGCCAAAGCTTTTGTCTAGCCAGGTTTTGAAAATTTCCAGGGATGGAGATTCCACAGCCTTTCTGGATAATCTGTTCCAGTCTTTTACAACCCTCCTAGGGAGACAATTCTTCCGAATATCTAACCTAAATTTCCCTTGCTGAAACTTGAGGCTGTTGCTCCTTGTTCTGTCATCTGCCAGCACCGATATTCTAGTCATCCTTTTTCGAACCCCACTTCAGGTAGTTGAAGGCTACTGTTGAGGCCCCTCGGTCTCTTCTTCTCTAGACTGAATAAGCCGTATTGCCCCAGTATTTCCTCATATGTTACATCCCCCAATCACCTCAACATTTTTGTCACCGTCCACCTGACTCTCTCCAATTTGTCTACCTCCTCTCTGTAGTGGGGGGCCCAAACTAAACACAGTACTCCAGATGTGGCCTCCTCAGTGCTGAATAGAGGAGAATAATCACTTCCCTTGACCTACTGTTGTTGACCTACTTGACCTCTTCTGCAGAGCTGCTGCCCAGCCAGTCAGCCCCCAGCATGTACCTGTGTATGGGATTATTCCATCCTAAGTGCAGGACTTTGAACGTGTCTTTGTTGAACCTCATGAGATTCCTTTTGGCCCAATCCTCCAATTTGTCTAGGTCACTTTGAATCCTAGCTCTATGCTCCAGTGTATCTGCTACTCCCCACAGCTTGGTGTCATCTGCAAACTTGCTGAGGGTGCACTCTATGCCATCTTCCAGGTCATTGAACATATTGAACAAAACTGGCCCCAGGACCAACCCCTGGGGCACTCCACTTGATACTGGCTGCCAGCAAGGCATAGAGTCATTGATAACTACTCTCTGAGCCCGATGCTCCAGCAAGTTATCTGTCCACTTTACAGTCCATTCATCCAGCTCATACTTCCTTAGCTTGCCTGGGAGAATGTTGTGGTAGTCCATATCAAAAGCCTTGCTAAAATCAAGGTACACCATATCCACTGGTCTTCCTGAATCCACAGTGCCAGTCATCTCATCATAGAAGGCAATCAGGTTGGTCAGACATGACTTTCCCCTGGTGAATCCATGCTGGCTGTTCCTAATTGCCAACTTCTGCTCCAAGTGCTTAGAAATGGATTCCTTGAGGATCTGCTTCATGATTTTTCCAGGGACTGAGGTGAGACTGACCAGTCTGTAGTTCTCTGGATCATCTTTTGTCCCTTTCTTAAATATGGACACAGGACCGTTTTCCAATCATCCAGGACCTCTTCTGATCACCATGAGTTTTCTAGATGATGGCCAGTGGCTCTGAAATCACATCAACCAACTTCCTCAGCACCCTTGGGTCCATCCCGTCTGGCCCCATGGACTTGTGCACATCCAGCTTTTCTAAATAATCTCTAACCTGTTCTTTCACCATTGAGGGCTACTCGCCTCCTCCCCAAACTGTGCTGCCTGGTGCAGTAGTCTCAGAGCTGACCTTGTCTGTGAAGATGAAGGCAAAGAAGACATTGAGCACTTCAGCCTTTTCTGCATCCTTTGTCACAAGGTTGCCTCCCCCATTCAGTAAGGAACCTGCACTTTCTCTGATCCTCCTCTTTCTGCTGACATACCTGTAGAAACCCTTCTTGTTACCCTTCACATCCCTTTCTAGCTGTGACTCCAGGTGTGCTTTGGCCTTCCTGACTTCATCCCTGCATGCCCGAGCAATGTTCTTATATTCCTCCCTGGTTATTTACACTTCTTATAATTTTCCTTTTCGTGATTGAGTTTACTGAAGAGTTACTTCAAGTTGATATGGGAGGAGAGAGAGATTTCTGATTGGAAATGCTCTCATTTCTTTGGCAAAAGCAGCAGTTTTTTCCGGCCAAAAAACAAATAAAAAAAACCTCGAACAGTATTTTTGAGTGGGGGAGAGGCTTTTTTCCTTGTCCATAGTCTCCTTTTCCTAAAGCAGCAGTGCCTCCTTTTACTAAAGCAGCTGTGATACCAGTATTTTCTTTGGGCCCTATGTAGATACCAAAAGAGCAAATGAGATGAGTCTGCAATTCCCTGTTGAAGGGGCAAAGGGAACTTGCCCTTTAACCTAGGAAAATATCCACGTGTAAACTTACTATTTGTTCCTTTTCAGCATTAACTTTCAAAAGTCACAAGTCTGTCAAAGGCATCTTTTTTCAAAGCAGCACTTGCTTGCTAGGCATTAATAGCCCACAACTTCCTCAAAAGATCAGATGTCAGTTTTAGAGTGGCCAAAAATTAAAACTAGCAAGATGTGTGCTTCCAAAATTCAGAAGCATCCAGAATTGTTTGGCAGGTTCACTGCTTATGGGTTGTACCAAGCACCTACTAAAATAGTTCTCATGCGCTTTACTTCAATATATTCTCAGTACCTACAGAGAGTATTTGTGTGCTTTGTGTTTTGGGGGAGGGCAGTAAGAAATGTTTTAAAGCCTTGTACCCTTGAATGCTCTTGGGAAAAGGAAGAAAGCAAAACTAATTAGCAATTCTAATTAGCATGAAAAGATCATGTAAGAGGTTTTTGCTTATTCTTTGGATGGAAAGAGATTACACTTGAAAGTATAAAATAGGACTTAGAAATTGTACTGTTAAATATATATTATAAATCTGTGTCAGCTCTCAGTTCCATTTAAGGATTTATATCAGGGCTGTTTGACTTCTAAGGCCCTGGGAGCCACACCACCAGCCCATGGGCCACGGGTGCATGCTATGCAAATGATCCTCCCCCTCTTCCCTCCCTCCCTCTCCCTGCTCTGTGTGCCTGCATGGATACCCCTCCACTGCTGCACCACATGGGTGCTGCCACCCCAACCACTGCCTTGTAGGGAGCATGAACTGTCCCTGAGGCAGTCCCAATACCCCTCTCCTTCCTCTTCCTGTCCCTGCCCCCCAACCACGCACATAGTCTGGACTCACCGTCAGCTCCCCTCATCACATTACCGTGCCGCCAAGGAAGAGGCAGCAAGAGGAGAAATGATGGAGAAAACAGTGGCTTGGGTGAGAGCCCAGCAGCCTGTAGTTTAACCCCTTTGCAGGCTGCATGGGGCCCTAGTTGGATAGCCTGATTTATACTTAAAAAATAAAAAAAGAACACACCTTAATTCCTTAAGCCAGAGATGCTCAACCCCTGGCCCGCATACCAGATCTAGCCTGCTGTGCTGTGTTATCTGGCTTGCAAGTTCCCCACAGGTTCAGAAATTTGGTGATGGGAGAGGTGTGACACCACTCCCCAGCTGCCAAACTTCCAGAGCCATGGGAAGCCCCGGCCTGTGCACACTGCATGGGGTGCAAGCCAAATGAAGTTGGTGCTGGGCTCCAGAGCCCCAGTCCCAGAGGCAGGAGACAATGTCTGGCCTCCCTGAATCCGATCCGGATGCATATGGGGCAGTTCCAGATCCCTAGGACCCAATCCTGGCATGAAGGGCAAGGAGGGGGCAGTGCCAGGGTCTAGTCCAGCCCACAAACTGGCCCCACACAACTCATCTGGCCTGCACTACCACCTTCAATAAATTAGCGCGTCCATAAATCTTTAAATTCTTATTTTTTTATGAAAATGTGTTTAATACCATTTCAGTTGCAGTATTTCAAATAGTTAGATTACAGAAAACTAGTAATCTAAAATGAAATATCATTTGTTTTAATCTTCACAAAATACTTATTCAAAGAAAAATGTTTTCATTGTTGAATGCTGAATACATCTGGCATGCTTTATCATTGTTTAAGAACTCCATGCAGCTTGGAGCCAGGTGCTGTCTTAGGAAGTAATTAGTTCACATCATTTCCAAACTGGAATATTTGTTGTCCTCATCATTTATTTTTTAGCTTCAGCTCATAATGGCATTGCGTTTATTGGTTATCTTGTGCTTTAAAAAAAATTGAAAATATTAATACAGCATCATTTTTGTATAAAAACTATTTTCTCTTTAGCTGGATGCGTTATGTTCCATTGCAGAGTCCCTAAAAAACAAATTATATGAATATACTTAAATTATTTTTGCCAAGTTTGAGAACCTCAACAGAAAAGTACTGTATGCAGTTTACTTAAAGTACCTGGTTTCCTACTGTGTGGACACTTTGAAAACACAGCAACACTGCATTTCTTAACATTCAAACAGTCTAGCACCTTTGCATATTTTTTATAATTATGCACACTTTTCTCAACATGGTTTGTAATCCCAGTTACAATCAGTTTGTCAGCATGTTTAACTAAGTAGTAAATAATTTATTTCCATTGCTTAACCATGAATCAGGTAGACTATCAGGTAGACATCAAGCACTATGACTTTACAAAACATCTCCATGCAGATCACCAGATGCTAAGATGGATGCTATGATAAACTCGTATCCCTAAGGTTAAAACTGAATCTCTTGTGCTGTTTAGTATTTCTAATAAAATACTGAACAATTAACAGTGTATGATCGGACTTAGATTTAAATAGTAGTTCTTAGTGGCTAATTTGACCTATTCTGTTTTATTTTTCCTTACCAGTGATTGAAAAGTCTCCCACCTTAATCCGGATTAGCAATTTATAAATGTTACAAGTAACAACTATAGAACCATATTGCTGAGCAACCATGTGCAGAATTATTTAATGGAGAATGCAGAGACACTTTGCTAATATGTAAAATCTGAACACCAGTTTTTGTTGGAAGTGCTTAGGAAATTGTGGTGGTGTAATTTTAAGTGAATTTTATACTAATTACCAGTCACAAATGATTTTCATATATTCTGCGTGATGGAAATTGAAGAATACCTGGTTTGCTCAATTAATAAAGTGAAACTAGTGTGAAAAAATTTCATGTTATCTTTTCTGTGCCAAACTTCAAGTTTTAGCACCACAAACTATTACAGAAGGCATTACTGTCTTATCAAATTAATATCAGTAATTACTGCGTGGTGAACATGGATGACTGGTGCCTCTTGTCTGGTGCACATGCCCCCCCCCACCAGTCAACAACCAGGTGGGAGGGTCCCCCAGCGGCCCATCACGCTGACAGGGGGTGGGCTCCCTTGTGGCCAGTCCTGTTGACTGGGTGGTTCCCCACCCCTGATCTCTCTGTCTCACCCCCTCCCCCAGCCATTTCACTTCTGGAAGTGACGCGGCCGCTTTTGCTGGCAGCCCTGCTCCCCAGCCGGCACCTGCCCCCCTACCCACTGGCTAAACCGGGAGCGTGGCCTGACGGTGCACTGGCTCTCAGGGGGTGCACATGTACCCCCTGTGCATCGCCACTAATGGTGAAAATAGCTAAAGTAGCATGACAACATGATCTTGTCGTCTTTTGTTCATAATATTCTAAAAACAACTTCATTGAGATTTCTGGGTACTTACCCCATTTGAGAGATCTAGCAATTTTTATTACAGTGCCAAAATATGAATTTTGATGACTAATTTTAGGCAACAGGTTCTGAAATATCTGGGAACTATGTAAGTTTTCACTGTTTACTATAGAGGGAATGAGCACAAAACAAATGGTCCTGATAGATTAATTATAAAGAGCATCTATTAACTGTAACTTTTGCTGTCAAATAAGCCATGTTTAATGAAAATGGAATCTTGAAACAATTTGCCTACTCAGGCGAATAGGGCGCAATTGCGTTCTCATCTCCATTCCCAAAACCCAACACATCCTGCCAGGTATGTGTGGCATAGTGGGAGGTATGCTAAATAGGACTGGTGCTTAAGTCCCATGGTACCTTGTCTGTCCTCAACCTGAAGCCCTTTATAAATTATTGGTGTGGTCTAAAAATGTTGTAGAGTAAAAATCAACTGGGGGGGGGGGGAATAGAGTAAGGTCGTCTCCTCCAGAAGAATCCTAAGCACAGAAAGTCCAGGTTGCATGAAAGGACTGTAAGGTGGATAGAAAACTAGCTGGATCATCAGGCTCAAAGGGCAATAATCAATGGCTCAGTGTCTGGTTTGCAGGTAGTACCAAGTGGAGTGCCCCAGGGGCTGGGGCTGATTTTGTTCAGTATCTTCATGAATGACCTGGAAGATGGGAGAAAGTGCATCCTCAGCAAGTTTGCAGATGACACCAAGCTAGGGGGAGTAGTAGATGCACTGGAAGGTAGGGCTAGGATTCAAAGTGATCTAGACAAATTGGAGGATTGTGGACCAAAAGAAATCTCATGAAATTCAATAAGTGCAAAGTCCTGCATTTAGGACGGAACAATCCCATGCACTGCTACAGGCTGGGGGCTGACTAGCTGGGCAGCAGCTTTGCAGAAAAGGACCTGGGGGTTACAGTGGACAATAAGCTGAATATGAGCCAACAGTGTGCCATTGCTGCCGAAGCTAACAGCATATTGGGCTGCAGTAGTAAGAGTGTTACCAGCAAATTAAAAGAAGTCATTATTCTCTTCCATTTGGCACTGAGGCCACATCTGGAGTATTGTGTCCAGTTTTTAGCCCTCCACTACAGAAAGGATGTGGATAAATTGGAGAGTCCAGCAGAGGGCAACAAAAATGGTTAGGGGGCTAGAGCACATGACTTATGAGTAGGCTTGGCAGGATTCAGTGTTATTGATAAACATAGATAAACAGGAATTTCACCTGACAATCACAGGGTGATGGAAAAAAATATTTCTGTTGGTAATCATCAAAATTTATAGAAAAAGGAAGAAAAAAAAATCAGGGATGGGATATGGAAAAATGGGGCAGCTGGTGCCATGCATGTACACACACACACACACAATCTCAGCTGTGCCACCCGTGCACTGCTCCTCTGGCAGCAACCCGGACAGCCACTGCAGGAGCTGGAGTTGTGCTGAGAGGGGCAGATCTGTTGGCAGCTGGGAGCCCAGTGCCGCAGGCTGCTTGCTCTGCCCAGGTCCCAACCAGGGATCAGGCACCAAACTCTTGGTGAGCCCAGGCCAACGCCTGTGTGTTTGAGGCAAAGACCAAACCCCCACCTAGCCAGGGATCTGGGTTTTCCATTTCCCACAGAAAAACGGAGTAAACTGCAGATTTTACCTTTTACTGGAGCCAAGCACGGACTTCTCATTTTACCGGAGAAACCTGCGGATTTTGCAGTTTTGAGGAGCCCTCTGCAGGCTGGCGGAGTTCCAGCTTGGAGGGGGTTAAAAGGGAGTGGGAAGAGGTCAGTCGGGCAGGGAGCACCACATACATATATATGTACATGGCTGCCAGGCATCCTGGAGAGCAGCTCCTGCAGGTAAGTGGGGGGAGAAGAGGGGGATTGAGGCCTCCATAGGGAGGGAGGGAAGGAGTTGAGTGGAGCTGAGGCTGCATGCTTAGGGCCCAGGGCTGCAATGTGCAGCCACAGGGCCCCAGTGGTGAGCAGGACAGGGCTGTGGGCTGCTTGGCATGGGGTTTGTAAGAAAGAGATCACCCAACAGGCAAATCACATTTTTGAACACTTGAACAGCAAGACTCCTTTGAAATTAAAAGCAAGTCAAACAAAAACAACACAGGTTACGATGGAAGCCTGTTTGGGAAGAATGAGACAACAGAAGGAAGAAGCAGTGGATTTCCTTCACAATCTAGTATGCGTGTTGTGCTTTTTGTATTAATATGGCCCAGGATACAAGCTATTTATTTGCTCTGCTTCACAAATATACACCAGCACATCGTACTTGCCCAGAATGTTGCCAGCTGGAAGAAAAATACTTACCTGAAGTTTGCACCCACCACCAACCAGGGATTAAGGAACTTTTGAGTGATGAGAAATTTTCTTTAGTAATTGAAGAAACCCCTGAGCTTGCAGGACAGCCAGCAATTAACACCTGTGATAAAAATAAGTCTGTAAATAAAATTCAGTTAAAATCCTCTGTTGTTCTTCAGTGCAATGCAGGGATCATCTCAGTTTGGATTCAAGATGTGTTGAGAGAGTACAGCCGAATGTGAGAACAGTGTGTGACAATCAACAGTGATTCCACAATATACATGCAAATGCCTAGTGAAGGACTTGAAAGAAATGCCTCCACATCTACTGCAGTAACTGCACATCCTATGTGCATTGCTCATCTTTTGCTTGTGGCCATTGATCATGCATTAAAAACAGACAAGTTCCACAACACTAATGGATTTGTGATACCTTTTCTAGGAACATTTAAACATGTCAACAAGAAAAGGTGAGCATTTTTTTAAGTCTGTGCCAGCAACAATGCAAGTCCATTGGATTTGCATGTGCCCCCCCTCCTCCCCATTGTGCAACCTCACTAGTTTTCCTGGCTTGCTGCAGAAAAATACAGTCATGCCCGTTGGGACAGCGTGACAGACTTTCTTACTAAAGAGCCAGATGCATGTTAAGAAAACAAAACTATTCTTGGAGGTTTGTCTAGCCCGGTTTTAAAAAGCCTAGGCTGGGATGATCTCGTTGGAGCTGGTCCTGCTTTGAGCAGGGGGCTGGCAGCACGTCCTGCGCCCACTCCCACCCCTCATTTGCTGCGCTTCTGATCGCCCTTCGGGAGCTGCCCAGTCACACGGGGCCTCTGCTCCCCTCCGCTTGGATGCATTTCTGCAGAGGCTTTTAAGGAGCTCCTCACGGCCACCGGGCGTGGGTCAAGAACTGCTCTTCCTTCTGGCAGCGGGAAAAGCCTGGCGAGCGGCGGTAGACAGGACCACGCCCCGAGCTGCTCCCGCCCGCGCGGAGGGCTCCTCAATTTGTCCCGCGCAGCACGAGGGGCGGCCCTGCCTCGCCGCGCTCCCGGCCGCCAGCCGCCAGGGGTCGCTGTGGGCTCACGTT